AAAATTCGGGTCTTTAGCTATCAGTCATGACAGTCTGTCACTATCAGCCACAGGCCGCAAAAAACCACTGGTGCCGAGAGTTCATAGGCCTGTACCTGCAGGACGAGTCCCAATCGGACGATACGGGCGTCCAATATTTTTTCGGATGGGTGCAGGGTGTTAGCAGTTGGAGCTGACTGCGATAATGTATAAAGTACAACAAAACTCCCTATAAGTGCAAATGAGTCAACCTAGAATACGAAAAGCACACAAAGATCAAAAGTGGAACACAAGGAAAGATGGGAGAAATGGTCAAGTGAACAGTGTAACGAATGCTAGCAGGTGGAAGGATGCATTAAATATCAACTGGAAGACGGATGAAGCTGTAGTAACAGGCTAAAAACTCACACGGTTTTGCAAAGCAATCTGTTGATTTGATTGTAAGAGAAAAATAAATGAGGGATGAAATGTCAGCAACAGGTGATGGTATGTCGTCGAGAGGTAGGTGAAAAGTGGCGGCGATCAGAAACGCAAAGTATTCGGATTCAGCTTTTGGAGCCACAACCAACAGTAGACAAGCACCGGTCTTCAGTTGTCAGCTATCATCGCGTCAAGGCTTAGAAAAAACTCACTATTCCTGTACCTAAAACTATCGTTTCACTAATAGAGTTTAATGGAATGACAGAATTAGGGACAAAGTAGATAAAGGAGTTCTCGCCTTCAGCTGGTGCCAGCCAGTGGTCGAGTGGTTCAGGCGTCTGCTTCGTGACCTATAGGTTGTTGGTTGGAGACTAGGCAGGCACAAAAGGCGTCATAATTACCAACAGCATAACATCAGCCATTTGAACTTACGCTTCGCTGTCATACAAAAACAACGACCATCGGAATGAAGTATAATAAAAGGGAAAGAAGGGGGTCTTACCGCAAGACCTTAATGCCTTAAGCAAACATTCGGGGGCAAGGCGACTACATCTTGTGTTAACAACATACCACCACAAACAACTGTCTTTCGTGCAAAGATAAGGCGGCATCGGCGAGACAGCTGCCTTGCGGTTTTCACTGCCCCGCGTCATAATCAGCCATCCACCCGCAGATAATTCAGCGCCAAAAACACGTTAAACAGGCAGTCCGACTAGGAGACGGCAGCAGACGCGCCACTGGTGCCGACTGCGAGCCATGTCCTGTAAAGTCTCGAGCCAAACACAAGGCGTGTCACGCGGACTCCAGCTTGGAAGACGAGACGGACCGACGGCACCAAGTTTGGTCATCAGTGACTTCATTTTCCGCGGCTGAGTCAACTTTACTTCACCTCGAGTCTTGCGCCACCCTACATCCGACAAACTAGACAATGTCTTCCTCGGTAAGCCGTTACCGGACATAAGCAACAAGTGCCCAAGCCAGTGCAACTTATTCTCGGCTTGTTCTAAAGAACTAGCTTGATTATTTTTGGTTACTGCTCGCCTACCCATATCATGGTTGCGGACACGCTTGTGCCACCCGACCCAACAATGCACCGTAGGCAGCGGTGGTGAAAAAATTGAATTTGTCTCAGAACCGCAGATGGAAAATCAACCAATATAAAGTAGGACGGCTCTTACTGTGGCCTTGTAAACACGGCCATTCATACCGAGGTAAACCCTCTCTTATGCCAATGTCGCAGATTCAAGAAGGCAGGTCAGGTAATTCCAATACGTGAAGAGACTTCAGTGATTATCCGCTCATTGTTGCTGATGCAGCTGCCAAGATAAAGGAACTGATCAACTACCTCGAGATCCTCGTTATCAACGGTCAAGGGATCATCAAGTGGCTGGTGGTTTTGCAACACTACTTTGTACCTTAAAGGCGTGAAGCGCATGCCAAATAAGGAGACTCCTCTTGAGAAGCCATACAAGGTTGATTCGACCGCTCCAACATCTTTAAAAGCAAGAGAATATGGTCCGCATGATCAAGGTCAACCAGGTCACCAGGCAACACTTCAACGTCTGCATAGCAAGAGTCCGCAACGGAACACTACAAGATGGAGTTCCCGATGAAAATGAACAAAAACGGGGAAATCGGAAAATCCCGACAAACACTACTTCTTATCGGGAAGATATCCGATAAGTCACGGTAGACTCAGCTGCAGCCTATCGTATTCGAATACATGACATGTAGAATGTTCATAGATTTCATGGGAACACCTTTCCGAGCAAGTATTTCGAACAGAATGCATCGATCGACTGAGTCGAATGCACTCTTGAAGTAAAGGAACACAGCTATTGTCGACCTACGGTACGCGTGGCGCTACTCTAGCACCTGCCGCAAACTGAAAATGTGGCGTATACAGCTCCGTCATGGGTGGAAACTTGCCTGCTCTTCCCTAATCCGGGATTCGCATTCCTTGGTGGCGTGACGAAGGAGGATTTGGTCACAAATGGCGGTAAGCTAATAACCCTGTGGTTATCACAGTCGGTGTGGCTACCCTTCTTATAGGTTGTTACAACAATCGATTAAGTACAATTAGCAGGGATGGTCTCTTCCATCCACATATTCGAACAGGTAGGTCAGTGTCTTGCAGAAGACCTCACCTGCACCATTAAAAAGTGCAAGTGGGAGGTGATCCGGGCCATCAGCATGAAAACGACTGAGGGTTGTGATCGCGTTCTGAACCTGAGCCTCCGATGAAGCCTCTAAATTAAGCGTCCATGGCTTATCCTACCACACCTGAGTAGGAAGAAGTCCGGAGCCAGGTGGCTAACTGAACTGTGCTTGAGAGTGTTCGACCAACTAGACATATGGCGTTCCTTATTGTGATTCAGCGCACCCGCGCTGTCTTTGATTGTCTTACTGAAGCCTCGATTCCAGGGACCGTTGGTGCGGATCAGCTGGAAGAGCTTGCGATAGTTGCCTACGGTTCCCGCCTCCTCCATATCCTGAGCCTTACTGGTCTACCAGGCTTCCTTGTCAGCGCGCAGGCTTCGATTTAGTTCGCGCCTAATAGTCCATCTGGTTACATTGTGCCCAGAGTCTGCCGGGAGGTTTTATCTAGATTCTAACAGGTTCACGGACCTCTCAGATATCCATTGACTGGTACGGTATGATTGATAGGGCCGAAAACAGAAGCTCCCGCATCGTGCATGGTGACCGACATTCTATTCCACTGAAGCTCAGTGTCATAAAGACAAGAGAACAAAAGTTCGGTACGCAGGGCATTCTGGTAAGTTGCCTGACAGACGACTGAGATAGCATAGCAAATGCCAATCGAAGGAAACGCTTGATACGTCTCACGGTAAAGGTCATGGAAAAATGACATCGTATCAACGCATGATCAGAGTCGACGCAAGTACTCCAGCACGAGTAACAATACATGGTGGAACCATGTCACCTGTAAACTAGGGGCAATGTAATCCCATTAGGTCCATCGCTGGCCAGCTACAGGAAGACGCCAAGTGACATTTGGGAGCCTATTGTTTTTAACAGCTGTGCTACATACAAGAAACAACTGATGCTCCGCGCGGAGTTGTGACAGACGCTCGCCGCTGTCCGTCCGGCCGGAATGAAGTCCATACTTACCACCAAGCAGAGGTTCCGAGGTGCTCAGGCGACCTCCTTGCGCATTCATATCCCTTGCAACAACAAAGGTATCTGAATTGGTAACATTGCGTAGTAACGTGTTAAATTATTGGTAGTAGACGTCCTTGGCAGCATCGGAACTGCAGTCGGTGGGAGCATAAGCGGAAACAACAAACAAACAGCGTCTGGTACCACTTTGTGAAGCAATCTTAGTCGATGTCGTCAAACGAGCTGCACACAAACGGCTGTTCAAGGGAGTCCAATCAACCAACAATGACTCAGCCCTGGAGCAGAGAACGATGGCTATCCCAGCTTGGCCAGTAATTGCCGCATCAGCGTTTCCTGTGTGTAACCAGTAGCAAGAAGATAAGCCGGACGCAGTTAATTCAACAACCTTGTAAGGGTCATTGACCACATTTCGAACACACAATACACATCCACAGAAAATGTGTCAAAAGTGCGCGCGAGTACTGCCTGTTGACCTGTTTGCCTTAGAGTGCGAACATAGAACGTCATCAGGGAAACGGGACTGTGGACTTATAAGGGACTGTTGCCGATAGGCGTCCAGTGGGTGGTACCTGAACATAGCTGCAGATGGTATGACTCCAGTGGCAATGCGGCTGCTGTCAATTAACCTGGGAATTATAGAAGGTTAATAATGGGGACTGAGATGGGAGTAAGAGAAACAGGTGAAAAGGAAAAGGGCGCCACCGGCAGCGTGTTTTCGCTTATCCGCCCTGCTATATGCAGCAGATAAGGCAACCCTTAATAACTTGCGCGATGACCAATGCAGGAAGTAGCTGAATTATGGAGAAATAGTCATGGTTGTGTATGGGCTGAGATAATGCCAGGGCGCTCAGATACAAGATAGGAAGAGGATTAGGGTCCTCAAACAAAGCTTCTAGCTTATAAGGCTGTCCTGGGGGCCAGGAGACTAAGTTTGTCTGACCTCTAACCATTGACTAGCCCGGTAGGAGTAGCTCTCGAGTGTGCCCGAAGCACCACCTAGTATACCTCAATGGGTCAAGGAGGTACACGCAAGCCGTCGCACCAAGTTACGATTCAGTCTGGTTGCAACGGACGAGTGACATAGCAGTATGTTTAAACTGCGTGCGATTACAATTGGTCAAGTGGTAGTTAGTACAAAGAACCGTTGAACTACTGACGCCGCCCTGGCCTAAGTGGAGCATGCTCCCATCTCTAAGATCAGATATGTCATTAGTTGCAAGCTGATAGCTTAACATGCGTAATTGTCCTGGATTAAAGAAGCAAGGAAGTGAACCGTCTGACCACGATCAGGCATCCTGTTGAAAGGAAACCGGACGAGACGAACAGGTTTGAAGATACGTTGACTCTGAGAATATAACTTAGCTAACATATGGTTCCCATATGGGACAGCTAAACTTGTTAGTCAAAGTGGATCCTTTGCGTTTATAGGTTGGTAAGAGATGTGCCGGGCCATTGCTCACCTGCGACACATACTGACAACTGCACTCTCCGTAGGTCTCCCGGTGCGCAAAAAGTTTTCATCACCCAATAACTCATACGCTGTGTGTGTGTTTGCAAGGAAGCTGGAAAGCGTTGATTCGTCGTCATGAGCCATTTCACAATAACGCCGGATCAAACGAAGTGCATCGGCTGACTTATCCACGTCAGTGCCACAAACTGAAAAGAAGGAAGAATAAAAAGTGGCACGATGAGAAGTCATGGTGGAGTTGGATTAAATGAAGTATTATTCCAATGCAGGAGAAGGAGTAACCGAAAAATGCTACTGTTGGAACTTAAGAAAATGTTGCAGTAGATTCGAACCAGAGCAACCTGAGAACACAGGGAAGAATCGAACAGCGCATGGTAAATTTATGAGAAAAATGATGTGCATACGAGGAAAAAGATAGTCTATATAGACAATTTCCACTGGAAAATAAAGAATAGGTTGAAGAACTGTAGCTATAAGAAAAATTGCTTTGCAACAAGATCAAAAAACATAGTTGGTTTAATGCATGAAAAAACAAATGGAAGCATGAATCCATTCGGAAATGACTGAATATGCTGATCCAAAAGATCGAATCAAGAGTATACGCCGCAAGTGCTGCGAATTCAAGCACTGCACACAAAGAAAAGCAAAATCTAACAGCATCGTCAGCAATTCAATTCAACTATGGTAAGCAGAGAAACACATATTCAATGCTTACGGGCAGTTACCTAGTTTCGCTATTTGGCGAGAGAAATGTTGGGCTTCATATGGTAGTCGGTTTGTGAGGTGGTCAGAATGAACTGAGTTAAAGTGAGGTGAGATAGCTTTCGACATCAAATGTTACTCATAGAAGGTGATTCTTTAAAAGAACCCTGAGCAAAAGCGTCTGGAATGGACTACGCTATGTCCACCGCACACAATGAACGGAGTGGGCAGGATAAAAAAGAGAAGGCGGATCATGTGCTTAATAGCGCATAATAACTATGGTCACGCTCGCACGCGTTGGCAACAGTGCTGTAATTGCGCATGAGAAAAGACGAAGAAATGGATGGAGAAATCCATCCGCTCCGCTAGATCGAAGGCCTAGCAGGGAAACAAAACAAAGAGCAGGACGCTAAGCAAGATGAAGGATTTCGTGAAACCAGAGAGACTGACAAGGTAATTGGGTTTGAAAGCACACAATAATTAGTGCAAGGCGTCAAGTCTTGCAGCTGTCACGAAATGGAATGACATCATACGCGAAAGCAAAAACACACACCATACAGGTTAGCTAGAGGTGGGAAACACCTCAGCTACTGTGCCGCGATACATAAAAGAAAAAGGGGAACAAAATGTAACAGGTGCAAGCCAGCTGAGCCACCGGTAACGGATGGGCATCGTTCCGGTATGCAACCTGCCGGCTACTATGCAGAGGAAAAAACAATTCACTATGCCAAATTATAAAATATTAAGTAATGACATCGTACTTGGAGGGGGAGGGGCTAAGAGGAATGGGGTGGGAGAAAGAAACACACAGCACGAACGCCATTGAGGTCGGCTCCTAGCCATATAAACAAGTGTATCCAGCCAAACGTGTTCATCGCTTTCGGACCCCAAACAGGGAGCCGAGACGCTCCAACTGAAGCCAGCATCGAAGTGAGGGCCTTCATTCCTCTCGACTAAATCATCGCTTGGCCACCTCTCCTCTTCTTCCATCCACACCATTGGTGCGCAAACAACGCACGTCGCGGGAGTCGGTGGGCTGGCATGCGCAACACGTGGCCGAGCTATCGGAGCCTGGTACGTGAAATAACGGTGCTGAGCCGTTCATTTTCTTTTACTGTGCTGTCAACAAGGCGTCGAACATGCTCGTTGCTCACGCGGTGTTCCCACCAGATGTGAGCCAGGCTGAGAAGGCTCCGGTGGTCGAACGTAACTAACCACTTTATGTTCGTTGATCTAACGGGCCAGGTTTCACAACCGTACAGTAAAGTCGAACGTACCGCTGCATTGCACACCCTACCCTTCAGGGCGAGAGTGATGTCGCGCCGGCGCCATAAGTGACGAAAGTTAGCAAAAGCGCCTCGAGCTCTTGCTATACGGTTCGTGATCTCATCTTCAATCCCACGGGCGCTGATACAACTTTCCAGGTAGTTGAATTTTTGAACGACTTCTAGCTGATCCCCAACAAGGGTCCGCGAAAGAGGCGCTCCAGGTCAACCTTGGAAGAACGCATTGCACTTCGATGGTGAAAAGCAAAGCGCGAAGCGGCTGACAGCCAGTGCCGCTTGGCACGTCGGGGAACGGTCACAGATTAGGGCAGTATCGTCAGCATACTCCAAGTCAAGAAGTCGTTCTCCTGGGAGCAAATCCACACCTTCTAAGTCGTGTCCTGTGAACGCGATTTCCATTACTTTGTCAATAGCGAAGTTGAAGAGGAAAGGTGACAGCGGGCATCCTTGTCTCACACCGGTGGAGCTACTGAATGGCAACGACAGCTGGTCGTAAGCCCTCACTCTGCCCGAGCTAGGCGCATCTAATAGTCGGATAATATTTACATATGTCTCGGGCACATCTTTCTTGACTAGACAGTCCTAAAGTGCACGTCCATCCACCGAATCGAATGCACATTTGATATCGTGGAACACGACAACGGTGGGCTGCCAATATGTGTGACGGTGCTGCAACGACTGATGCAAGGTGAAGATGTGGTCAATGTAGCCACGACCTCGAAGAAAACCGGCTTGCTCTTCACGAGCCTGGTTTTCACGAGTGCCACTCTGTCTGTGAATGATGACAGAGGCATGCAATTTGGAGGCAATGGAGGTCAGACTGATTCCTCTATGGTTGCCGCATTCCGATCGTGAGCCCCCTTGAAAATTGGGACTATGACGGAGCGGCTCCAGTCGGTTGGGACAGTTTCCAGCTCCCACAATTTCACCAGTAGCTCGTGTATTTCATCCACCAGAGCAGGTCCCCCGAATTCGAAGAGGGCTGGATGTAGATCATCTGGTCCCGCGGCTTTATTCAATTTCAACCGTTCGATGTGACGTTCGACTGCTGAGCGAGAGAGTGGATCCTAAAGGACAGCCCTGAGAGCGGGGCAATCAGTGGCCAGCGAAAAATCTATCAATTCCGACCGATTCGATAACCTTTTAAAGTGCTCAGCCCAACGCTCCAAGCGATTTGACAAGTTGTGGATAGAATGTCCACTCTTGTCAAGCATAGTTTCACTATCACCAGGTCTTCTGCTGCCAGTTTCCGGTATCAGATGAAATAACTTACGATGGTTACTAAGGGCAGCGGCCATTTCCATCTCTCATGCACGATGAGACCACCAGGATTCGCGGTCTCTCTTCAGACTCACACCGGGTTCTGCCCGGAGCTTTCTGCGAGTTTCATTGTGTTCCCTTCCAGCCGGAGTATGCCGGCGAGCATCGATAAGTTCCAGAGACTGCGAAGAGACCCAATGTCCATGTTGGCGATTAGACTTACCACATGAGGATTTGCCTGCTGCTAGTAAGGCCTGGTGAATATGAGACCAGTGAGCTTCAACTGCATCCCATGAGCGCTTAATCAACTCACACGACAGCGTACTTTGATAGACATTCAGAACAGCTGGTTTCGCCAGTTGGCTAGTGTCAATGCGCTCACGTCGTCGTGGGCGTCCGCCAAAACGCATCCGCAGGTCAGCACATACAAGTGCATGGTCGGTGTCCACACCTGTGCTCCAGATCGAGCGACAGTTCTGGACGCAGCTTCTGCATCGATAACTTATCGCAATGTGATCGGTTTGCGTCCATAGCTGTTTCAAAGCTGGTGGGGCGCCAAGTCACCCTCCGGCGGGTGCTGTGTCGGAAATTAGTGCTCGCAAGAAATAAGTGAGCGTCTTCACACAAATGAAATAACCGCTCACCGTTATCATTACGGGAACCTACACCATGTTGGTCGCCCAGATGCAGAACATCAGTGGATAATTTTCCAACCTGAGCGTTCAGATCCCCAGCCAGCACAACAGTGTCCGAGCTTCTTCTGTGGTGAAGAAGCTCGTACAATGGGCGATAGAAATCGTCTTTTAGCGAATCATCGCTAGAGTTTGTGGGTGCATAGGCAACGATAACGAATAGACACCTGTTAGTCCCGCGCGACTTCGAAGCTTTGAACGAGCCAGCCAATCGGACCGCACACATCCGGCTACTGATTGGAATCCAGTCAACCAGAGCAGCTTCAGCCCGGGGACTCAGGGCAATACCAACACCAGCTTGGCCGGTGCTCGAAGCTGCATCGTCACTGGATGGGCGCAATGAGAAAGTGCCACTGGTGCCACCTGAAGGAGATCGCAAAAGAAGCACAGAGCTCGAGTCTTGCAGGCGGGTCACCGATAAGCACCAGATATCGATCGAGAGGGTCTCTAATGTTCGGGCAAGTGCTGCCTGTTGACCGATTTGTAGCAATCTGCGTACACTGAGGCATGCCAACCTGAAGGATGATTGAGGGCTAAAAATGGAAGTCGATGAACTGGGCTTGGCCGTTCGGTTGGACATGGGCTGGTCGACAGGGCAAGAGTGACGCTCCGTGTTCACATGTGATTGGAATCTAGAAGGTAAAAGTTTAGCAAAGCAAGTTGGGGGAAGGTAAATAATTGGGGGTTGAAAAGAAGGGGATAAGTGAAGCTGGAACGGGACGGTAAGAGAGAAAAAGCGTAAAAGAGGGAATAAGAAGATGGGAAGGCTTGAGCAGTAGCATCCAAACCCCTATCCACCCTGCTCGATGCAGCATATAGGGCACCGTTGATTATCCTCTGCGGTGGCCAGAGCATCAGGAAATTGTTTGAGGGAAGATTTATAGTATTGCGTAGGCAGGATACTCTCAGGTCGCCCAGGCCTAGACAGGAGAACGATTAGGGTTCTCAATCAAAGCCTTTGGTTCAAAAACCTGACCGCAAGGCAGCGGCTTTGGCGTTGGGCTACAAGGAGTCCGTTTTAAGGAATAAAGAGCCACCTCATTCCAACCCCAACCTGGATGACCAGGAGGCTGAGTTTGTCTGGCCTCTAACCATTGACCAATCGGGTATGAGTGACTCTGAAGGTGCAAGAAAGCACCACCCAGCATAGCTCAATGGATCGCTGAGGCACACAAACGATCGAACCACAGTAAGGTTCAGCCTCATTGCGTTGGGGCATGCGTAAATTTGAAGGAAGGTTTTAGGGGA